TAGCTGAGGTGCTGGACAAGGCCAAGAACCAGCACTACCAGGTGACCTACTGCTCCTGCTCCTGCTCCTGCTCCTGCTCCTCCTGCTCCTGCTCCTGCTCCTGCTCCTGCTCCTGCTCCTGCTCCTGCTCCTCTTGCTCCTCCTGCTCCTGCTCCTGCTCCTGCTCCTGCTCCTGCTCCTGCTCCTGCTCCTGCTCCTGCTCCTGCTCCTGCTCCTGCTCCTGCTCCTGCTCCTCCTGCTCCTCCTGCTGCCCCTCCTCGTTGACCTCCTCGATCTCCCCGTCCTCCTCTTCCTCGATCTCCTCCTCCTTCACTTCCTCCTCGTTCTCGTCCTCTTCTCCCTCTATACATCACCTCCTTCCTTAAGCTTCTCCCTTCCTCCCCCCCCTCCCCCGCTAGCTCTACCTGTCTTCTTCCCCTCCTCTGCTTCTCCTGACTTGTCTTGGCTCAGATTGCCTGCCTGCAAGTCTACGAGGCTCTTCATCCTGGCGGCACCGTAGACTCGCTCAATCATCCCAACCAGTACTTCCTCGACAGCGTCAGGTACGTCCACCCTCCTGCCTCCTCTGCTACTCCTCTCTGTTCCCCCTCTCCCTCCGTCCATCCTCGCCATCAGCTTCAACATGGCCTGACCTCATGGCAGGTACCACGAAGCCAAGGAACAAGACCAGCAGCAGGCGTCCAACGTGAAGCAGGAGGAGGCGACTGCTGCGTCCACGGCCGTACAGGCGTCATAACTACAAGTGTAAACTCTCTCTACCTTCACGCAGCCTTGCCTGCCCTCATCCCCCCTCATCCCCGCATGCTGCTATCGTCGCCAATGTGCCACCATCCTCGGTTCCGCTTCTTGTTCCTCCCAGGTCGTCCGATACTGTAAGTGTTTAATGCTCGACGAATACATTACAAATTAAGCTTCAGCCCTTTCCGCTGACCTCAGGCAGCCGCCAGCAGCTCAGGCGCTGGCGAGGAGGAGCGGAGGACGAGGGAGGGAGAGGAGGGGAAGGAGGGGCAGAGAGAGGGAGAGACGAGCAGAGGAGACCCAGCGCGGATCCCTCGAGGAGGAGGCGGCAAGTCGACTGCCTATCGACCCACAGCGAGAATGTTATGAGCCTCGACTTCATCGGTTCTCAGCTGATCCCCAGCCGTCGCCATCAGCCGTTGCCTGACGAGCCCTTGGGCGGAGGAAACGCGTTCGGCCCAGTCGCCTACGAGCCGTGAGATGTGGCGGGACAGCAGGCAGAAAAGGAGGACAGGGAGGAGAGAATGTGCAAGGGGGCAAGAGCGTTGGACGAAGGAAAAAACCTTGGCAGCGTTGGCAGATGAAGCAGGAGATTTCGAGTCAGGCCACGTCAAGTTCCCTGTGGGACAAGCATAGTGAGCGGAGAAGTAAGTGAGGTTAGGGGTTTGACCTAAAGGTGATATCGGGGTTGAGAACAGGGTCGATTGAGGCGTTGTTAGGAAGGTATCGGCAAGGATTGCGTGACTCGAACTGTTCGAGGTTAGTTGTCGGGAACATCAAGCATAGGAAATGACTCACGATGGATCAAGAGGTACCATGGAGGACGGCGACTGACCTTCTGCGTTCCCTGATCTGTTCAAGGGGTCAGGAATGGCTGGACAGACATGGATATCCAACTTACAAGACTGCTACGAGACCGGGAGAACCGTCAGACATCAACTGCATCGAAGAAGACTGCATGTTGGAAGACGACTGAGGAAGTCATTGTCAGGTTCAATTCTTACAAGGCCAAGTCTCCATGCGGTACCTGGATCCCAGGATGCAAACCCTGCTCAGGTATGTCTAGTTTCGGCGCTTTCTTTGGCGGTGCACTTTGACTAGCTGCTGCTGGCCGCTTTCCGCTTTTGCCTCCCGCGTTTGTTGACTGAGACACTCTCTCCATTTCCGCGTCGTTCATCGATTGACCCATCTGCCCCGAGCTTCCTTGCGAGTTGTTCACAGAAGCAGCGCCAGGGGGTAGCACGAGCGCTTGTGTGGCGTGATCCATGCTGCTGGAATTGGACGGGCTCGCTGCTAGACATTGCGTTATCAACAAATCATTGGTATTCATATCCAGAGCTTGATTCCCCGGCATGATGTAAGCGCTCTGTTCAAGCCCGGAGACTCCCTTAATGTCGACATCGTATTTATCCTTCTCATCTTTCCCACAAAACTGTCCGTACTGCATGCAAGTCAGTGCACGAAGTCACCACTGTAGATCACTCACAGAATCGTTTGTGTATTGTTCAAGAGGCTTCTCGTCAATGAACTTTGACAGAGTCTGATCAATATTGCCGCTTGCGTACTGCGTTAATTTCCCTTGGGAGTTGAAGATGACGAGAGCTATCTCGCAGTCGCACAGGATGCTCAGCTCTATCGCTTTCTTCACCAGCCCGTTCTTTCGTTTGGCGAACGTCGCGTGTCTACTTCGCTCGTCATTGATTCTCGCGATCTTAATCTTCTTTCTTCCCATGTCTGCCCCCAACCCCGAAGAAACAGTCTCCCAACGATCGTCCTTGCGGGAGGCCAGTCGCTCAGCGAGCTTGGCCTTAGCGCTCTGAGCGGCTGCGGAGGACGTTGCTACTAATGGATGGCGCAATCAGCGCCAGAAGGAACAACAGGAGAATGAGCCGAAGCAAGCAGACAGCGAAGACCTGAGGCGGGGTCAGTGAAAAGAAGCGAGAAGGCGAGGTAAGAAACAAGTTGAAAGGGCAAGTTCCTCTAAGCAAGAGTCACACACCTTGAAGTTTTTGTGGACCAAACTGCAATCCAATGTGATCCTCTTCAGAAAGGAGCGAAAGTTACTGAAAGAGAAGTTAAGAAACCTCAAAACCAGGAAGGAAAATTATGGAGAACAGGGGGATGCTATATTTTCAAATTAAGCAACAATTGACGGATGGAACAGATGTTTCAATTTGAAAAGTTGCATACACATCAATCAGTTAAAAAAGAATCGCTCTCGAGGGCTATGTTAACGAACAAACTTGAGTGATCCAACTTGTAAATATCACTCGCTGTCTTTTAGCTTCGTGCTTTCCCTCAGCCCCATCAGTTCTCAGATTCTCAACAAGGATGTTTAAATTAATCCTTCAGCAAGGAGTTCTTGATGTCTTCTCATCCTCCGAAGTTTCCTGTCTCCTCCGTGTAAAGCATCCCTTCTCTACTTCAGCTGTACACCCGACCTCTCCACATGCTCTTGGTTATCATCACCCCTTATACCCTGAGCTATGTTGACTCTATTGATTTCTCTAAACAAAGATTGACTGTTTCTGACGCGAATCCTCGAATGAACAAATAGCATGTAACAAGCCTTGCAACCCTTCTAGTTTTGAACTGGACAATTCCACCCACTCTCCCTCTTTCTTCGCCCTGCATCGTATCTCATCTCTGTCTCTCTCTGCGATCTCCTTCATTTGCTCCATGATCTTGTTTGTTTCTCTTCCTCCTTCCTCGCAACCATACTCTCTCTCCGCCTCCTGCCCATCTCCATCCACTACTTTCCCTCCTCGCCATGAGAGGCGCGCGTGGACTCTCCCAGTTTCTCCTAGGGTGCTTGTCTCCCTCGTCGTTCGAAGAGGACCTACCTATTACCCATAGTAGTTAAAGATTTCAATACAGTACTATAAATTATCTGATAGTAAATATTAGTCTTTATTTTATCAACATAAATTATCATACAAATGTTTTATCATCAAATCACCCACCTCAGACAACGCTGGTTTGAATGTCCAACCACCCCACCCATAAGTCATGAGAGGACCCCACCTCTTCATTTCATTTCATGATCCCACCCCTACCCTGGCATGTTTCAGGTTCTAGTTTACAACCCATGCTGGCTCCTCTCTAGTACCCCGTAATCTGTACTGATTTGGGACCCCTTTGACAGGGTACCCAGGCCTTCTACTGTCATACCCACCCTAACAAACAAACAACCTCTTCCTGAAAATGTGTTCGAGATGAGAGGTGGGGTGATATACCCCTACCTGCTTTTCTCTGTTATAGTACCCACCTTGGTAGCTCATCGATTCAAACAAAAGTGAAAGGACCCTTCCTCACCATAAAAAGACCCCCCCATGTACCCCATACCCACTTGTAACGGACTGGTGTTGTCACACCGGTACTTGTCCAGGGAGAAATACGGGTGTGCAAAAACCGAAAAACGAATTACCCACGGGTGTTAATTGCCAATCAATAGGGGGGTGGGTTCGGAGTTTAGGGGGGTAGGGTCATAATAGGGTTGAAACATTGAAAAGGGGATACAGGGGTACAATCTTACGATGCATGGGGTACTTTTTCACTATCAGATAGTTGATCAATGTGAGGTAGGGTATATGACCCCACCTTACTCATAGCTGAGTCAATTTCGGACAACCCCAACAGAAATTGAAGGACCCACCCATTCTTCAAAAATGAGACCCCACCAGCATAGCCCTTAGTACCCAGCCCACCATTCAGATGAATTCAAAATACCCATCAATTACACCAAATAGTTGATTCAAAGAGTAGGGTAGGGTATTTTGGGGTGGGGTAGGGGATGGTAGAGTAGGGTACCAAGAAGTGCACCCACTAGGTTGTTCATATTTGGCCCTCCCACCCCACCCAGTCATGACCCGCCCGGTCACAAGGCACCACCCTACTCCACACGTTCGAGCCTACACCACCCCTACCCCAACCGGTCACTCACCGCCAAGTTGGCTCCGGCGGTCACGCCGGGTCACTCTGAATGGCGCCGGGCAGCCCCGGCACTTCCGAAGTTCCACCTCACCGGGCGGCCCGGCGCGAGACTGCCCCGGCCGGGCCCGGCCGCGGCGGGCCTGCACGGCGGCGAGATCGGACAAGTAGCCCGGCCCGGCCGCGCGAGACTGCCCGGCCCGGTACCGGTGCGGGCCTTGAACCCCGCAACTTCAACTTTTTTGCCAAGTTGGCAACTTTCAACTTCCGGCAGTCAGAGTCACCGGGGGCGAGGCCGCTTAGTAGCCTCCGAGGCTCAGGCCCGCGGGGGCATCGTGAACCGTACCGTACCGGGCCCGGGGTCGGCGACGGCGTGGCACTGAGTGTCCTTCCCCCGTGACCGGCCGGGGGGGAGGGTTTCTCTAGTGGGCACAGCACGCCTCGCGAGGAGACGATTGAAACTTTCAGACTCAGAGAGTAGAAGCTACCGTTGAACGAAAACAGTTCATCCTCCTCCTCAGGCTTGCCTGCCGCCTTCCTCAGTCATGCTCCTCCTCCTAGTCCTCCTCCTCCTCCTATTCCTCCTAGTCCTCCTAGTCCTCGTCCTCCCCTCAGCAGCAGCTGCTTACTCCTCATGTGAACTCGATGAGTTTCTTCTTGGTCGGGGGACGAGTCTTGACCTTGACAGAGAGAAGAGGAGGAAAGTGGAGAGAAGATTGAACGATGAGGCAACAAGGAGAGGATAGGGGTAGAGGAGGGCTGGGGGGAGAGAAGGAGCAATACCTGTGCGATCCTGGCATCTTTCCCTCCCCTCGTCCATCGCTCAGCTCCGCCGAGGTGATGGAGGAATCGCTCCCCTCCTGGAAGTTCAGCCATCTCCGTATCCTGCTCACTAGCGCATCCACTTGGGCCAGGTCTGTGAAGCGCTCCTCCTGGATCACATTGTTGTACTCAGTCCAATGCGCATCCGCCCAGCACACATGGAGGATGTAGGTCTGCTGCTGCTCCGCCAGCTCGAGCAGGCTTCTCGACTAATCTAGAGACTGCAAGCGAGGGGCCACTAATGACTCGCTGGTAAAGTTTTTCAGCTTGTTGAAAGAGAGAAACAAGTAGGCTGGGAAAGTTGCATAAGTCTTCTCTGTCGAGGATTGCTCCATTACATATTAGGTCGAGATCGTTGAAGTGCAAGGTCTCATTGATTACCCCTGCTGCAATATCCTGGATTTTCAAATGAACCAAATCCAATGATATGCACAAATATGATATTCACAAATATCTACTTTCAAGTGAACCAAATCCAATGATATGCACAAATATTTACTCCCAGTCCTTCGCAAGATACCTTCGTCGGAAACCGTGAACGTACATCCAGGTACTGAAGATCGATCTACGGACATCGTGGACAAGAAGAGAGAAAGGAAAGTAGGCATGAATTCGACAGTTGACTTCCCTGCAGCGCTTCAAATTGACTTCGCGCAAAACTGCCATGCTGTGCGATTTGAATTCCTTTGCTGCTGGTCTGCTACCAAATCGTGGCAGTCGAGCCAAAATCATTAATTTATAGTTCAAGCTGCTATTGATTCGGGAAGTTCTTGTCTGACTCTCATGGGCTATTGAATGTGTGACTTCAAGCGAAAATAAAAATGGTTTCTAGGCCAGCAACCAAAACTTTTGTTTTGTGGCCCATGAGAGCAGACAAGAACTTCTCGCACTCTGGTGGCTCTTCTCTTCTTTATCTACAGAAGAAAGCGATCACCTTGTCATGTCAGTGATTGCAGATACTGCACCACCTCCCATTGACCCGCATAACTCGCCATGAACTGGCATGTCGCGCCGTACACATCCTTTACATAGAACAGCTCGTTCCCGCATGTCTCCGCAAGGTACCGCAGAACCTCCACGTGCCCATTCCTGCTCGCCTCATGCGCGCATGTCCAATTTCGCTTCTCCTTCACTTTCAACATACTCACTCCGCATTTCTCCTTTAGATACGTCAGCACCTTCAAGTGCCCTCCGTTGCTCGCCCAATGCGCGCATGTGCAGCCGTCATTATTCGTCATGTTCAAAATTTCTCTCAGCCTCTCTTCTCCACATTTGCTTTCAACGGTCTCCAGCACCCTCAGGTGTCCATGTCCACTCGCCCAGTACGCGAATGTCCTGCCAACTTTGTCCCTCAAAGTCAGATCAGCCCCTGCATCCACCAGCTCTGCCACGCTTGCTTCCTGCCCCAGCATCGCTGCAACGTGCAACGCCGTCCTTCCATCGTCGAGTCTTGCATCCATGTTGCATCCTGCTTTCTTGAGGAGACGGATAAGCCCTCCTTGTCCTCGAACAATCGCTGTGATCGCCGGTGGCTCAGCCTGCTCCTCCCTGCTTGTGATGGACAAGCCGTACATCTGACAAAGCAGCTTGCTCATCTCTTGCGAGTTATCGGCCGATGTATCCTGCCTGTTGATCTTGTCGGACAGTATATTCATCGTCTTCCAGTACACCGACTTCATGGACTCATTTGGTTCGCATTTCCAGTCTCCTTGAGTGTCCTCAACCCAGTGCCTGATCTTGTTCATTGCCATCTCTTTGAGGATGTTTGACTGCTCGATTGCTTCCTTGTATCTCGAGTCATCGTTGTACCACTCCCTGTCTCTCTCTCGACTCACCTCAACCAACTTCCGGCATTCATCTACTATCGATTTCAAGAGCTGTTCATGATGTCGATTACGTGAGGTTTCAGGAGCACTTTTCAGCCGCTCCTTGATCCTCGGCACCCACCCTTTCAGATCTCGCTCTACCTCCCTCGCGATGTTCTCCATCAGCCCCACGTACAGCTGCTTCCTCTTTCCCAGCATGTCCTCGATCGTCGAGCTCATCACATTAGCGTTGATTCTCAGCTCCAACACCTTTACCCTTTCACCTGCTAGCACTCGATACCGCGGCTTCTTAAGCACCTCCAAGTACGACAGCGGAGGATACAACATCTCCTCCTCCCCCGGATACTGAGACAAGAACGCCAAGCTCGCCCCCCGGTCGATCGCCCCGCAGCTGATCTCGAACACGATCGGATCTTTCCCCGCACCGGCGTACTGGATCGCCGTTCTGACGTCTGTCGTCGTGCTCAGCAGCCCGTATTCGACTCCTCCTGACACCCCGAGCTCGTCCTCCTTGAGGAAGCTCTCCGGCAGCCTCAGACCTTTCAGCCCTCTCCACACCCGACGGTCCTCCATCAGAGACGTGTGACGAGCCAGTTTAACGAGTCCGCTGACAATGCAGTGCAGGGTGGTCGTGTACCTGTTGGCGACCTTGTCGGGCTCTCGCAAAGCACGGTTGTACTTGACGTACATTGGTCCTGTAGCAAACTAATCATCAGACATTCTCCTCCTCCCTCTTTCCATCTCGCTCTCTCCTACCTGTGTAGAGCTGCAGCGCGATCAGCTCCTCCTCCAGAAGATTTGCCTTGATCGCCATCGGGTCCTCCTTCAGTTCTTCTATCCCTCGGATGATCCGCTTCCGATCGAGATGATGCGTGTTCGTCTCGGATAGTCCATCTTCACCCTTTCCTGGTGACCATCTTCGCCTCCTCTCCGGATCTATCACGTTCCAAAACTCGTCCTTCGGTGTTGTCGAGATGTCGTAGTTACTCGAAGTAAACCTTTCCTCTGCGTCCTCGCCAATGCAGTGCTCCTCCTTTATCGCCTTCATCAGGTCCATCTGAGGCAGCCCGATCCGGTCGATCAGCCCCCCATAGAACTCCACGATCTTCCCGTACACAGCTTCGTACGTCTCCCCGCTGTCTGTGACCTCTGCCTCGTTGAGCGAGTACTTGCTGTTATGTGTGGTCTGACAGCCTCCTAGACCCCCCCCTCGAGCTTCCACTGGCTCCCTCAGCGCCTCCTCGAGCCTCCTCGCTATCGCCGTCTGCCATAGAGCCGATAGAGCGCTCTCCGTCATCCCCTGTAGCCCCGCAAGAGGACTCGCCGCGCTCCCGCCGGGGATGCACTCAGCCATGACGCGGAGAAGGTCCATATCGGCAAGTCTGCTGGCCTTGCGAGCGAG